GATTGAATTTTTTTTTATCGTCGGGCATTTAATAGATATAGGTGAAAATGACGCAAATGTTACAATCTGATTATATATATATATATATATATATATATATATATACTTGTGTCGCCTATTCAACACAACGGACGTCTTTTTTCCACCACTAAACATTATCTTTTTTTTTGTCATTCCGCCGTCTTATAAATAAAGAATAGTCATCACGTTGTATGATCTTTTATAGTCATTCGATATTTTCTTTAGCGATAATTAGTGTTCACTTACAGAACTTCACTTTGACAAAAATTGCTTTGTCAAACCATGAGATGTCCAGGACAAGGAGGTGTGCATTATGGGAGGTTTTACTGTGGTTACATTTATTATACTCATAGACCTATCATCTTGTCGCGACAGAAAAAAGTAATATGAAGCGAATTGGTGTCCATAACAACACATGAAGCGAATGATAGTTAAAAACTCATGAATATTAAGTATTTTTCGTTTAACTTCAATTTTTCAGAAAAAAGGAGGAAAGAGAGGATAGTTTAAAAAAAAGGGGCCAAAAAGAGGAGGTTTTGGAAGAAAAGAGGAAAAAGAGGAGGAGTAGGATGCCAGATTATCGTTAATTGCTATGCTGGTACAATTTATTTCTTTTTAATTTTTTTTTGTCAAATAATTTAATTAATATAGGCATGAAGTATAACATTTCATAGTTTATTAACTGTAATGTATCTTCTTTGGGCATGTTTTATTTGGGTTTTACCGAATTCTCGACAATGGTGTTTAAGAATGAGTCCATTTTTTACAATTTATGGTGGAATATTATTAATTTTACAATATTTAATTGGTTTTAAAGTTAGTTTTAATCAATTAAATTTTGCATATGATCGTCGTACAATGGAACAAATTGGTATTCCTATTAATGATTATCAACCAGCCATTATGTCATTATTAGTTAAAGTATGAGATATATATATAGAGAGAGAGAGAAACGATTTATTTTAATTAATTTTAGCCATTTTATATGATGTTTTTTTGGTTAACACTTCGAGAATATATAAATGAAAAACGAAATGTCAATATTCAATTAAATGAAGATTAGATTTTGTTTATTAATTAAATGAATCCCTAGTCGAACATCTTGTAAGCAAGATCTTGACAAGATCATGAAAAGATAATTTGTATGTGAATAGCTTGCGCGCATCGGATACATCTGTGTCTAAGATCTTGTCAAGATCATGAGAAAGATATTGTTTACTGTTATCTTGTCACAAGAGCTTGAGTAAAAGAACGATATCGTTAGTGTTTATGTGCTGACTAGTCATTCACCGTTTTTTTGTACATGCAGAGTCGTATATAAACAACGTGATTGGACATACGAAACATACATTTTTCAAAATAATTTTTTTATAAACTCTTTCTCGACTATTAATCATTCGAGAAAATGCCGATCTCGATCCCAGATCGCGA